GGGGGGGGGGGGGAGATGTCTGTGGTTTCCTAAAAGGATACGTTAAAAAAAAACTTTTTAAAGTTTGCTTTCATTTTTACCTTTTTTATTTTTTAGGCTCTAATCCTCATTACAGTGACACACTGGGCAGTGGCCTGTAATGCTGTCTTGGGAAGATTTTGTTGTTGTGATTGACTTTGAAGCTTTCCACACTGGGGCCCCAATCTGTGCTCAGGAGATAACCATTAGAATTGTACATCGGACTGCCTTTCTTATTTTGTATACTCTCTTTTGCATCTCCCTTCCTTCCCAGACAGTTTCGTCACTGATCCAAAATTTGAGCCTGGCAGTGGTCACCTACAGAATTAGAACATTTCAGTCCACCCAACCTTCTCCCTTCCCATCCTCAAATCCCTCCCAACATGCCCTTGGGTGACTTGAAGACAGGAAAAGGAGGAGGGGAGGGGAGGGGAAGGAGAGTAGGGAATGGAGCTAGGAAAGGAAAAGGAAGGGGAAAAAAAGAGCAGAGCAGATACAGGGAGAGATGGTAGGAAAGAAAGATGGTAGGACTCAAGATGGCCCGGAGCCATTCACACACAAGTTGGGAGAAGAATCAGTGTGACCCACAAAAGGACAGGACTACTTTTTCTTCTGGTCCACTTGTATCCATCTCAACCCCCACATGGGCCCTACTCTGAAGTGTGGAGCAAGTAGTTGGGGGACTCACCACCAGGCAAAGAAAGTCGTAACAGGAATTGGAAGACCATTACACATACATACTTGACTTACGGTTACCCAAGGCCAGGAGGGACCAGTGGCCTTATTTCTACTATAACATAAAATTCCTTCAGGAAAGTGTTCTTTTTTTTTCTGATGATGAAAATAATACATAATTATTCTAGAAAAGTGGAAAAATGGAAAAGAATCAAGAAACAGAAAGACTATCACTCCTACTCCCTCCCTCACAGAGGCAATACCATGTACAGGTTGGCATGTTTTCTTCCAAGCCCTTTTTAGTGTATTATTTATACCACTGAGATGATACTGTGTTTAAGATTTGGTATCAGAAGTGTTATTTTTAAAGCAAATTCTAACAGCTTTAATTGAAGTATCAAAGACCATTCAGTGGTTATGGATGGCGCTCAGATTCGGGGTGGAAGGCCTAGCAGGTTGTCTGTCACCTCTACACACATGTCTCCAGCTGTATCAGCTGGTGCTCAATAGGCTCTCCCCCCATCCAGCTTGAACTCTAACACCTCACAGAATTCTTTTTTTTTTTTTTTAGAGAAAGGGGGAGGGGCAGAGGGAGAGAGAGAGAGAGAATCTTAAGCAGGCTCCATGTCCAGCACAGAGCCTGTTGCGGGGCTCCATCTCATGACGCTGACACATCATGACCTGAGCCAAAATCAAGAGTCAGATGCTTAACCAACTGAGCCACCCAGGTGTCCCCTTTGCTTTCTTTACAAATCCTTGGTAGTCTTTTTTTCTTTTTTCTTTTTCTATATAGGAATATCCTTTCTGTCCTTGGGGGAAAAAAAAGGTATTCAAGTAATGCATGAATACATACTTAGAAAAATTACGAATGACGTGAAAAACCATGGAGTATATGATATGTGTATCTATTGATATATATTTATATATTATACATTTGTAAATATATGTTGTAAATGTGCACTTATATAAACATAAGTATGTTGATAATTGTTAGCAGGGAAAAATGTACATATGCATGTACATGTAAGGGTGTGTATGCATCTTATATATATTTTTACCTTAGAGTTAATTAGGCTGTGCTGATTATTATGACCATTAATATTTCCACTTGGAGAGTTTTTTCTACATCAACAAATGTAGAGCCGTCTCACTCATTAAGAGCTGTATAGTATTCCAGCCTATGGCTGTACCATAATGTAATCAGCCCCTCCCTTATTCATAAGCATTTAAGTTGCTTCTATTTGCCATTATTAACAATGCTATATTGGGACGCCTGGGTGGCTCAGTTGGTTAAGCATCTTAAGCATCTGCCGTCGGCTCAGGTCATGATCCCTGGGTCCTGGGATCGAGTCCTATGTCAGGCTCCCTGCTCTGCAGGGAGTCTGCTTCTCCCTTTCCCTCTGCCCCTCCCCCCACTTGTACTCTCTCACTCGCTCACTCTCTCTCTCTCTCTCTCAAATAAATAAGATCTTAAAAAAAAATGCTGTATTGAACATCTTGGCATATATGTGCCTATCTTAGCAGGCATATATCAGTAGTCCTATATGGCAAATTCCTGGAATCCCTGTATAGGTAGGCCAAAGTGTATATACGTTTTAAATTTTGGTAGCTCCTGCCAAATTGCCCATTAAAACATTGTTCAGATTTCCTCTCCTATCAACAGTGTCTGAGCTTGCCAGTTCCTATACTCTTGCCAAGACAAGATATTATCATCATTTTTTATTTTTACCAATCCAGTGGGCAAACACTGATGTGACTCCTTCTGCTTGGAAGAGAAATTTTTCCTCTCAGATGTCTATTGGCCTTTTGTATATATTTTATAAGTGGCCTTTGCCAATGAAAAAGAAAATTGGTTTATCTTTTTCATATTCTTTTTAAAAATTCTATTTACATATGTAGAATTAATCTCTTGTCTCTTAGGCAGTGTTGCACTGTTTCCCCCCGCCTTTATTTTACTGGAAGGCCTCAAAAATGAAATCCCTAAAGTGACCAGGCTGGTGAAGTCAATGAGTAGAGGGGTGGGTTGGAGTGACGATGAAGCAGAGAGCTACCACCGCACCACAAGAGGGCCCCTCCTCTCTCAGCCACAGCTCGTTGCTGCCCCCTAGAAGTGAGGAATGGCATTGCCAGACAGCCAGATGCCCTGATTTTTAAAGGCTGGCAACTTCCTGCATTGAAAAAACCAACATCAACAATAACAAAAACCTTGCAGACTGAACAAATCGTAGGACAACACCGGCATTGTGAGCCTCCAGTTTTGGACATCAGGTTTATCATGTATTCTTACATGAAGAAATTTAAATGTTTTTGGAGTCAAATTTGTCATGTATATCCTGTTCACTTTTAATCTTGCACAGGAAAGGCTTCTACAAGTTAAGAATATACAAATATTCATCTGTCTTATAATCTATATTACTTTTATGGTTTTGCCTTTTTACATTTATATCTGAATGTGTTTGGGATTTATTTTTATGTAAGGTATAATGTAAGGTTATAACATGTTTTCTAAATGTCCCGGTGGCCTCAATCCTCACTGTGATTTGTACAACCAGTTATCAGACGCTAATTTTCCTGTTTCCATATTGACAGATTTGCCATTCCTTTACCAATAGCACACTTTTAAATTATTGTAGCTTGGTAAACTATTTTGTTGTCTCGTGGAACGGAGACCCATTTTTTTTTCTGTTTTATTTTGATTCTCTTAGCTGTTCTTTGTACATTTTCCCCTTCAGATAAACTTTAGAATCAGCTTGGGGCACCTGGGTGGCTTAGTCGTTAAGCGTCTGCCTTGGGCTCAGGTCATGATCCCAGGGTCCTGGGATCGAGCCCCGCATTGGGCTCTCTGCTCCGCAGGAAGCCTGCTTCTCTCTCTCTCACTCCCCCTGCTTGTGTTCCCTCTCTCTCTCTCTCTCTCTGTCAAATAAATAAATAAAATCTTAAAAACAACAACAACAAAACAACTTTAGAATCAGCTTGTCAAGTCCTGTTGGAATTTTAATTGGGATTACATTGTATTTATCAATTAAGCTGGAGGAGGAGTTATAGTTTCATAATACTTTGCAGCTAGAAAAATGGTTTGTTTTTCCATGTATTTAGGTCTTTTGGTCCTTCAGGAAAAGTTTATTTTATTATCTTTGTTATAGTCTGTATATTTTTTATTGCAGTTATTCTCAGGTATTTTCTAGTTACTTTATTTTTCTTTTTTTTTAATAACTTTTATTTATGTATTTATTTTTAAGTAGGTTCTAGGCCCAGGGTGGGGCTTGAACTCACAACCCTGAGATTAAGAGTTGCATGCTTCACTGACTGAGCCAGCCAGGCACCCCCGAGTTACTTTTTTTTTTTTTTTCTACACAGATATTTTTTCCCACCAAATTTTAAAATTGGATGCCATACTGGAATTTGTAACCTTCTTTATCTCTCTCGTACTTTGACTCAGATTTGACGTCAACTCAACTGGGAGTCCCTTCCTGAACTCTCAATTGGACTAGATATTCAAATTCTGTGCTTCTCTAGCACACTCTCCACCTTGAATTGAAATTTTCTGCTTATGTTTGTTTCTCTCCCTTCCAATCAGGTCCAACTCATTGCTTCTGTATACTCCTACTGCTAACATGGTGTCCAATAAATAATAGATGCTTGAAATGCATCATTGTTTTGAATTATGGAATATATCATACATTATTGTAATAAAAGTGAATATATGATTTTATTTTTAAAAGTGTAACATTGTGAATATTTTTACCTTGTAACAGTCATTATAGTTATTTAGAATAGCTGAAAAATAATAATAGGTAACATTTAATTGAACATTTACTCTGTACTAGGTACTGTTCTTACTGCTTTGCATGTATTATCTCACTTATTCTTCACAAAGACTTCACTATCAGGCAGGTTCCCATTTTATAGAATCAGAAACTGAGGCATAGAAAGTTAACTAAATTGCTAAGGTGTGTAATAAGTAGAGTAACCAAAATGTAAATATCCATCGAATAGATATAACCATTTAGAGTATTTACAGTTTGGCTTATAAACTGGCAATGACCATCTTCATGCACATTTTTAAAATTTTCTTAAAAATTAGTTTCTTTAGGGGAGTGGAGTGCAAATACTTTGTGGTGCTGTGCTACTTTTTAAAATTTCATTACGTTGTGTTTCAACTTCACCACAGCCTTTATGTCTAGCATCTTTCTAGTCACTATTGGGCGAACAACAAAGACGACATGGTTCCGGTCCTCAAGGAGTTTATAATTGAGTTTAGATGATGAAACAAGTAAAAATGAAACCTAGAATGGGATTGTTCCCGGATAATGTGTCTAACACAGTTTCTGGAAACACCAGAGGAAACTTAGAACCTTGAGGAAAAGCAGATTTTGGCCTCTGGCTACACAGCATTTCACATCTACCTTGATTCACTGCCTTTGTGATGTACCTGGACTGTTTTACTTTGACAAAGCGGTCAAATGCAGAGCAGCCCATATTCCCCAGTGACTGAATAGGGTGGTGATCTCAGAATCTTAAATAGTAAGGGACAGGCAGGAACGCTAGGATTGAGAAATGCTGTAAAGCCCTTTGCACCCTGGAGAAAATGGTGCTGTATGACCAGTAATGCTCTCCCCCACCCTCCAACAAAGAAGAAGGGAAGAAAGAGATATTAGTGTCGTGCCCGCACACTTGAAAATGGCAGTATGCGTACATAGCAGTCTTTGAGAGGATGCTTTGAAGTCCAGGGATGCAAGACTGCCCAGTGGTCTGCATGTGGATTTGATCTCAGGAGTTGTCAGGACATAACTCTTTACATGTAGAAGCCTGTGTGCCCACAAAATTGCTTGCCTTCCCTCCTCACTTTAATTGGTGATAACTTGCAGGAACTGGCCACTCTTGCAGAAATCCGTTCATTAATTTTTCCATTTCTGACATCTCTAGTCTCTCTGATTGCCCTTCACTTTTGCTCTGCAATTGTTCTGTGTGTGAATACAGCAAAGCCGGGAGAGAGTTAAACAAGTCTCCTGGCAGAGATGGAATTACAGTCGTCAGCCTTAGCTGTCCCCTTTTTCTCTGAGCCAAAGTTTAGTATTTTAGGGCATTTCTAGAGTCGTGGAACCCTCGAGAGATTTTGTCCTTTCTGGTTAGGTTGCAGTGGAGCTGGAGAATAGTGTGAAGGAAAGAAAACTATGTGTCTATTCACTCCCCACCCCACCCTCTGATTTTGGCCAATAGTTGCTTTGTGTGCTCTAGTCTCTCAGACACCTAGTAGGTAGCAACCTACTGGTCCCCAGGGGAGGTTAATCCATAGGGAAGTGGCAGAAGGTAGACAGCAGAAGGGGAAGGAGGGGACACAAGGACCCGAGTGCTCCACAGACCTTACAAGCCTTTTCTGAGTGGTTGAGAAAAGATGTGAGAAAAGATCTTGCCATTTCTCTCTGATGTTTACTCTAATGGCAACAAACTTTTCTATGTAGCAAGCTGTAACAATGGTTTCTATTTCTTGGGCTCTTACTCTGGGCTACAGGTTGTAGATGCTGTTCTAGATGTCACTTCCTATTTCATGCACACAGCATCTCTTTGGGATAAGTATTATTATTGGCTTCATCTCCCCAAAGGGGAAACTGAGGCTCAGTTTCATAAGCTTGCACAGTTATAGGGCCGGCACTTGAAGGCACTCAGACCTCTGTGTCACCTGCCGCCCTACAGTTGTATACGGCTACCCTTAATCTGTGTACCAGTGTTCAGCATGTTTCATGTCACTTAGTTTTTAAGGATTTACTGAGCTCTTTATTTCCTCGGAGTGAAGTAGTAATTAAATCAGCATCTTTTTTTTTTTTTTCACTTTTATTTCTATTTACTGTAAGTCAGTCAAGGTTATAGCTACAACACATCATTATTTGGTTTAAAAATGCTTCTTTTTACCCTCCTGAGGGTAGTATGTCAGGGATCAATATCAAGAAAACACTAGAGATAGGGCGCCTGGGTGGCTCAGTTGGTTAAGCGACTGCCTTCGGCTCAGGTCATGATCCTGGAGTCCCAGGATCGAGTCCCGCATCGGGCTCCCT